CCTCCCTCTCTCTCTCTCTCTCTCTCTCTCTCTCTCTTTCTTTCTTTCTTTCTTTCAGATGGAGTTTCGCTCTTGTTGCCCAGCTTGGAGTGCAGTGGTGCTATCGCCGCTCACTGCAACCTCCACCTCCTGGGTTCAAGCAATTATCCTGCTCAGCCTCCCGAGTAGCTGGGATTACAGGTGTCTGCCACCACGCATGGCTAATTTTTTGTACTTTTAGTAGAGATGGGGTTTCACCATGTTGGGCAGGCTGGTCTCAAACTCCTGCCCTCAGGTGATCCACCCACCTCGGCCTCCCAAGTGCTGGGATTACAGGCATGAGCCACTGCCAAACTCTTTCTCCAATTAGCATTTGTTGATCTCCTTCTGTGGTGGCTGTGAATATGGGCATCTCAGATCTTCTACTGTGGGGAATGTAATTGACTAAGGGTCCCAGCTGCTGCCCTTTGAATTCACCACCACATTGTGCCTAAGCCACATTCCCTGGGGGCTGCTCCCAGCCAATGACTGAGCATGGCAAAGATACTGAGCATGACAAAGTCACGTAACACAGGACTTTGCTCACAGGGAACTTTGACTTAAAGACTCCCTGTTGACCCTGCCAAACTTTCTTAAAACAGCACTGCAGTCTAAGATTCCTCCTACTCAAACTTCCGTTCTTTCCTCTCTCTTCCACAAGGGTCAGACCTGCACCATGGTCTGATGGCTTTTCTGGCCTCCTTCAGCTCCCTCCTCATTTTCCTTCATAAGTGTTTTACCCCGATAAATCCCTTGCACATCTATTCCATATTGGATTAGATATGAATCCAACTGGCATCTGCTTCTCAGAGTACCCAATCTAACATACCTTCTATATGCCAGGCACTGTGCTACATGCTGGAGGTACAACTTTGAACAAGAGAAATTTAATCCCTTCTCCAAAGAAGCTCACTGTCTAAAGGGACTAGCAGAGATAAATAGCTAGTACATAGTAAATGAGTGCAATAAAGCAAACTAACAAGGTAGAATGAAAAAAAAAAATCTGTATATGGGATATAAGGATGACTCCCCTAAAGTTTTACAAGGTTCTCAGAAAAGCAAGTTTCAATAAATCTTACTGAAGTCATACTAGAAAACATATTCAGACATTTTAGACAGCTTTTCAATAACTGGAGGTTTTATTTTTTTAAAAAAGGAGGGGAGACTAGTTAGCCCTAAGTCACCAGAAAATTTATTTTTATTACAACATCTTATTTCCCTAGGAATTTCAGTTGATCATGTCCTTAATTTATGTGTCCAGATTTTCTTAATTTAGGAACAAAATTCATCAAGTTTTGCCTCACATGACATCACTGCTGGGGTCTAGGGTATTGACTCCAAGCTCTCCACTTCACCCTTCTCAAGGAATCTGCTGACAAAAGCAGTAAAGGAGATCACAGATAATACATATCACCAAACCGAACACAGCACTGTAATTTATAGTACTAGATGGAAAGGTGATATTTAATGTCAAAATACAATTTGGGGTCTGGAGACATAGAGTTCAGATTTATCTCCTATAAATGTCAATCTCATATACAAGCCTTAGACTGATTTTCAATACGGTCTAAGCTTAAAACTTTATGATTATCTTCAGAAAAAGTACAGAAACAGCTAGTTCTTGCTCACTGTGTTCTTACTACATGAAGTTACAAAATGTAATGCTATTCTAGGAACAGGAACTGATACGGTTTACTGGACCAAGAAGGGAAAGAGTCCCCTTGTGTAAGAGTGGCTAATCTAAATTTAAACAATGCTGGTTGGGACAAATATGTAGAATGAAAAATCCTATGTGGCAGGTACTTTCACATACAAAGTTCCTGTTCATCTAGCAGGGCTTTATTTACTTTCTTGGTAAACCAATGCCTAAGTAGTACATGTGCAAAATATCATATTTAAATAAGTTCATAAAATTAATTGTTATAGATAAAATCCTTTGTGTTTCTAAATCTGCATTGACAATGACTTCCAGTTTTCAGGAATGGTTGAGTTTATTTGGCAGGGTAACTGTTAGTACTGGTCCTATTTCCACCAGTTCTAGGTCAAATAAAAGGGCTCAGTTCTTTTCTCAGTGAAGTGCTATGAGTGGTTCAGATTTTAGAAGGTAACAAGTTGTTGCTTGATGTACCTACATGGGTCGGGGAATGACTCTTTGAATTACCATGACACCAGTTTGGTTTGCCTTTGATATGATAATTCATATAGTAATTTAGAGCTTGCATATAGTATGTCTCTTCCCTGAGTTGGGCAAGTCTCATCATTTTATAAACTCCCACCACCTGAAGAATCAGTTAAGTCAAAAATCTTTAAAAGAATAAAACTTCAAATGAGAACTTTTGGGAAAACATGTCAGATGTCATGAAGAAAGGTATATGTTATATCCAAATATAAGTGGATATGTTGCAATATTTACCCTCCTTCCCAGTTATTACTGCTTGGTTAATCAGTGAACTGGTACAATTGATCTATGGGCTAAAAGTCAGCCATATATTTAAGGAAATAAAACACCCATAAACTGATTAAGAATTCAGAATTTCCAAACCAGGAAGAAGAGAAATACATGCCAAAGGAAAAGATATTTTGTATTAAGTAAATCTCATACAAATTTCAGTAAATTTCACAGCCCAGCTTTTAAGAAAAGCCCCATCGCAAGACAGCATGAGGAACAAAGAAGCCTAGGCGAGCTAGACATGCCTAAATGAAATGACAATAATGAAATATAACTATTTCAATGTATGGACATGTGCATGAAAGAAATAAAACAGAAAGAACACAGAAAACAGAAAGAAACAGAAAAAGAATTTAGAGGGAATCCTCATCAAGTAAACAAAGAATTAGCCTGAGAACTGAATCCCAAATGGAATGAAAAAAAGTAAAACCAAAAGCAGATGACTAAGGAGATAAGCCAAGAACTGGTACGTACTTGCATGAGTAAAAGCAGAAAGGTAAATTCAAGAAATAAGATGCCACCTACAAAAGACATACTAAATACAAAAGCACTCTTTAAATATACGAGGGACAAAGGAAAGTTAAAAGAAAATAACCCCTTTATTAGATATAAGGGACAAGTAATCGTGGAGCCCAGCTATCAAAGAGGGGTTCTCTTATTATTATTATTATTGTAAAAATGGAATTCA